AGCGCTTCGGGAAGGGCCGGGCAGGCAGCGGATTCAGCGGCCTTCGTGGTACCGGGGATCTGCACTGCCCGGGGGGGACGAGACAGTTGTGCCTGCCCCCTCATCCTCCTCCTCCTCGGCAGGTTCTTCCTTGCTGCTATGGGAGCCAGGCTGTGTGGGAGCTGCTCAGGAGAGGGAAAGGTGTATCAGGGGATACAGACTCATTTTAGGGGTTTAATTAGTGAGAAGTGCCTGGGACATTGAGTTTAGGTCACTGCAGTCATGATGCACCCACAGAAAAGTCCTAACCCCTTGTCACAAGCCTCAGGCTCACCTTCCCTTCCCCTCCACAGCACCCTATGCCAAAAGTTGTACTGTATGGAGACATCTCGATGGTTGGACTTGATGATTTTAGAGGTCTCTTCCAACCTTAATGGTGCTGTGATCTGTGCTACTGCAGGAAAGGAGATGAATGAAACAACAGGCGGGAGGCCCTGCACCGGTACTGAATGGAAAGTGATTGGAAATGAATGAAAGTGTTTGTGCCTTGCCACAGGGTGAGAGGCAAGGAAACTACCAGAACTCCTCACAGACCCCGAATTTATGAATCGTAGAATCACAAAGTCATTATGGTTGGAAAAGCCTTTTAAGATCATAAATTCCAACCATTATCTAACTCTTCTCCACTTCCAAACCATGTCCCCGAGCACCATATCTGGATGGCTTTAAATACATCCAAGGATGGTGACTCCACCACTTCCTCACTGAAAACTACGCTGCATTAATAGTGTCTAGAATGAGAACTACAAGTGTGCTTTATGAAAGACTGAGGACACAAATATAACCAGCACATGCAAGCTATAAACCACAGTTATTTGTACTAACAGTGTCCAGTGTGTATACGTTTCTGAATTCACAGGATGCCCTTCTCACTATTTCACCCTATGTCCAGACAGGCCCGTTCTGCTTTGGCGTCCGAATGCCCTATGTGATAAGCGTGTCATAAGTTTTGGAAGTTTGGGGCACATCTGTTTATCAGGTTCAGTGACTGCAGCGGAGAAATTAAACATCTAGCTGCTTAACAGCAAGTTGAGTTACAACAAAAACAGGTGAGAATTAGAGAATGAAAACTGTTTAATGAAGACAGCTGAGTGGGACCAAGCTGTCACACGTTCAATACAAAAGCACAGGAATCAAGCCATTGTTTGGCTGCTTTAAAGTACCAGAAACCTGACTTTCAAAGCCTTCTGTCATAGGCTTTAGTTTGTACCTTTGGGATCACCGTTCCTTCATTAAATAATTCCTTCCACGAGCGGATCAACCTGCAGCTTAGTTGGCTGCCGCATCTGAAAGGCAGTGCCAGGTTTCATTGTAAGCCGCCTTCTCATTTCTAGGTTGTTTTCTCAAAGACGCCAAGATTTAATTGCAGTTCTCTAAACAGCTCTGAGACCATGAGGCTAAAGCGATACAGCCCTGCATTAGCTTGCAAATGGCTTGTTTACGTTTAGCTGCAGCACAGATCGCTTCCCAGATAACCATTTTGCAACCTCAGTGGCAAATTAAAGGCCACAATATTCTTCTTTTTCTTGGAGTCAGTCACATTTATGCATAGATTAATACAGAAACCACCTTTATCCTATTTCTACGCCTTCATTTGGAAAACTTTTAAGTCCAGTTGTGTTAGTGGTCCTGATACCTAGTGATTCGTATCCAGGCAAGTTACAGCTGTCGTGTGTTGTAAATCACCAAGGCATAAGGCAGCAGATGGAAATAAAAGTTTCTATTTAACAATAAAGTCTGAGAGCTCGTGAGCTGGAATTGAGCAGAGTGCTGAAATTGATACTGCCGTGCAAATTTCTCAGTAGTGTTGTGGAGCAGGCTGAGTAAATTACAATGCATTTCCCAGATTTTCTTTAAAAGGTACCGCAAAATGGGATAAACAGTGGTTACATTCAAGTCTGTGGGATCTTTCAGTTGATTTTAATTGGATCGGGAGTGCAGTGAAGGGGAACTCCATGAACCTTGTGGAGTTTTCCTGCCAACGTCTTATTTGCGCAGCGTGTTCTTGTTCTGTATCGGGAAAAATCAAATTACTTGGGTTTATGTCTGTGGTTTCGGCTCCATCGTGGTCCTGCAAAACCCCCCTGACGTATTTCATTCTCTCCTAGGTGACAAACCACCGCAGCTCTCACAATGAGTTTTGTTGAGTACGGAGACACGATAAAGGATGGGGACACGGCTATTGTGTTCCTGGGCCACGAGTCCATGTTTCCTGTGAAAGTCCAGCAGGGCGCAGTCACCCAGACCAAGTACGGGGTCATCAGGCACTCCTCGGACCTCATCGGCAAGAGGTACGGCTCCAAGGTGACCTGCAGCAAGGGAGGGTGGGTGTTTATCCTTCACCCAACCCCAGAGCTCTGGACCATGAACCTGCCGCACCGGACGCAGATTCTGTACTCCACGGACATCTCCATCATCACCATGATGCTGGAACTGAAGCCAGGCTCCATAGTGTGCGAATCAGGTAATATTTCGTATATTTACATCCTTTTATTAACAGCTAACCCCAATACTTCTGTGAAATATATATATAGATATAGTTTTTCCATTGCAATACTAATTTTCCCAGCCTGCACATTGAGTTGCTCTGTTTCATTTGCACGTGTTGCCGCTGCTGTTTCTTCATTACCTTTGGTTGGTGTACCTTTGAGTGCATGTGTCTGATTAATTCATCTTCCAGAAGTAAAAATATAAGCATTTTTCTTTCCCTTTTTCTGAAGCTGTTGCTAAGTACTTCAAAAAATATTTTAAAAGACGTGATTTGAACAAAAACTTAGGCTTTGGGTTTGCGGTTTCAGAGAGCAGAGTTGAGATAACCCAGTGAAAGAGGCTCTGGTGACAGGGTGCTGATCTAGTAAAGGACATAATTTGGCAGTATTTGTATAATGTAAATACATGTATTTCACATTTCTCTTCCCAAGTGTGATCCACTTGTAGCACTGCAACCACGTGCAAGATCCCTGTAGCTGATACAATGGATGCTGTGTTCGTCACAGGGCTTTGCTTTGTTTCCAAGCTTGGTGTAATTCAATACAGCTCCCATGATTTTCCTTAATTTGCAAGTAAGGAGTGAAATTTTCCATGAATAGATATTTTCCGGGTTAGATACAGTTACTGCAGGCAGTATGAGCCCTGCTCGCTTTGGTTGCATCTCTAGTTTGGAAAATCACAAACTGGGGTATTTTGTCCTTGCTTTTGTGGCTGTTTGGTCTCTTTAGGAAGCAGTTTCCCTCTCAAGCATGGATTTGGTAAAGGATCAGTGTGCTGCATTGCTTTTTCTTGCGCTTAACATTTCCTTTTCCCACCCAAGCCCAATTTTGGGCGGCTTTTCCAGCATAATGACCACCTCCCCACACTAAAAGCCGTATGCAGAAACCTCTGGTACAGCTAAACCGGTTGGATCCTATGAGTTTCTAATTTGTATGACGATCAGGCATTTTTAGGGTTGTCATGGGAAGCCGCAGTATTGTTCACTGGACGGCTCTGCACCTCTTCCCCTCCCCGCTGTGTTTACACAGGATGGGAAAAATAAACACAGCGAATTATTCAGGAGGTTTGAGTTGCTCCATGTCCGTCCTCACCGGGAGGAGGTGAATGTTAAAGTATGGAGCTGCATGTGAAATGTTTTCAGTGGCGTCAAAGGTACCTGGAGAGGGTGAGGATGTTTAAAAGCTCATTTATCTACCCAGCTCATTAAAACACTCAGAGAGGTAACCTGTCCAGATTGCCAAGAACGTTAGGAGTCAAAAATCATAGCCAAAACCACTCCTTTTTTTGCTAATGGGAAACTGTCCCTGGGTTTATTTTAGTGCCTGTGCTGCCAAAGTGTTACAACTTCAGCTTTCCAGGAAAAGTGAACAGTTTTACTACTGTAATTTTGCTTGCATCGCTTGAAAGATGCTTACCACGAGAGAAAGAAAGAGGATTGCGTGGAATTCATCTGGTTAGTTCATCAGGTTAACCTTGAAGAGAGAGATCCTGCTGCAAATTTGCTTGCGACTGCCCAGAAGCGGTGATTTGAATTAAAAACTTTACAGGTGTTGACAAGCGGAGCCCCCCGTGTGCTGATGTAACCCGCTTGGGTGCCATCCCAAATTAGTCGTTACTCGATGATCCAAAATCTGTCGTTCTAGATTAACCTTGCGTGGCCTGGACAGGACCGACCCGGCGGCGATTAATAGAAACAAGACAGGAAATCTGGCGGAGTAATGACATTTGAGTCTGCTTCCTGCTGCTGCCGCCTGTATTTTGGGCGTTCATCAGCACGGAGGTCTGTCTTTTTTGTTATGTGAGATCCAGCTGCTGCTCGTTGCTGCTGCGCGGACCGGCCAGGCTCTTTTCCTCATTTTCCTCATTAGCCCGTGGAAGAGTGCCCTGCATTTAATACCCAGCGTAAGCAAGCAGAGTTGTGGATTAATCTCCACAAATGTATGAGGAAAGGACTGATAAAGTGAGATGAAACCCTCAGTGCCATGTTCTGACGCTGTGGATAGGAGTGTAAATGATCTTTTGTGTGCAATTGGAAACATTCAGTAGAATAACCAGAAGGCTTAAGTTTCTGTCACTTGAATTATGCAGCTTAAATTGATTACTCATGATTTGTCCTAAACGAGACAAACATATTAATACAGGTTTTACTGTTTTTAATCATCTTTAATAAATAACGTAAAGAGCAAGCTCGTCAGCAGCGCATGCATAATTCAAGGGACCCAAGCACACTCTATTGAGGGAACCCAGCATCTGCCCGATGCTTCATGACGGGGCTGCAGGAATACGATCCTTTTTCCACCTTCTGCTAATTTCTAATTTATAAAGCTGTGTTGAGATTTAAAAACTGGCGGCGCCGTTGCTAAGATCTCGTGAAAACGCTGGTCCCTGGGTGAGGAATCCCTCACTCCCAAACCGTCTTTACCAGCCCCCAGCTTTCCAGAATTAAAGGGTACTTGGGACACTGCTAAAATCCCTGCTGGGGAGCTGGTGGTGTGAAGCTTTAATTCTCACCAGGTAACTCTGATCCTATTTGCATTCATCCCATGTGCAGCCACTGTCTACGTAGAGGAATAAGATGAATTTATTTTTTCACTTGTGTCGCCACGCTCTCCAAAAGTCATCTTGATTTTCAGCCCAGTGATTACAATGACTCTTTCAAGCAGTTCCTGTCCTTCTGGAGCTGAGGGCCCAGCACTGGACCCAAGATTGCAGCTGTGGTGTGAGCAGGGCAGAGCAGAGGGGCAGGAGAACCTCTCTGCCCTACAACCACCCCTTCTCATCCACCCCACGATGGCGTTGGCCTTCTTGGCTCAAGGGCACATTGCTGGCTCATGGGCATTGCTGCCACCAACACCCCAGGTCCTTTCCAGCCGCTCGTCCCCAAGCCTGTAGCGCTGCAGGGAATGCAGCACAGCCCTGTGAAACCTCCTTTAATCTGGTAAATCTCAGAAATATTTTGGCTTTGACGGAGCACTGTGTTCAGACAAAACGTAGTTGAGTCAGGAGCGCTCTGAGCACCGTCCCAGCGATCCTTCAGCGAAATCAGGCTCACATGAGCAGAGGTGTTAATGGGATTTCTTTGTTTCCCTTCAGCTAAATCCCAAATTAAAGATTGCAAAACCCCGTTCATTGCCACACAAGCTGGGTTTCTGAGCAGTGTTCTGGGTCCTCAGGGTTTCTGTGTGGAGTAACCAGAGCCGCTGGGCGCTACGGCTTCTCGAAACCAGTTATGACATTTTCAGTATTCATTGGGTGTAGATTTTGTGAAGAGCGCGCTCATAAAAAACCCATGAGGACTTAATGATTAATGGGTACTTAATAAATGATTAATGCTTTATTGTGGAGTCCCCTCTTCTGAACTGCTCATGACTTTTTGACGAATACCGCTCACGTCCTTGCAGCTTTTATGGCGTACGTAAACCGACTGCAGCTCTGGCTTCAGTGTAAAGTGCAGACCAAGGTTTGTAAGTATTAATTTGGTTTTGGAAGGGCCTCGTACTAATTAAGCCTGTGTTTTATAGTGTCTCCCTTATCTACCTCTTAGCAGCTGTTCAGGTTAGAGAGACAGAAGAATTTGAAACCCCATCCTTGTGTAGCAGCTTTGGAAGCGTAAGAGAGGCCTCATCATTACAAACACTGGAGGCTGTCGTATCCTCTTGACGTACCCAAAACCTGAACCCAAACCGTGGCCTCCCTGCGGCATCGCTGTCTGTATTCACACCTGCAGCAACGGGGAGTGCTCTTCAGACCCTGAAGGGATCATTTCCAGGCTTTCTGCGCTCCCTTTCATCTGAGCGTTTCACTTGACCACCTCACGCAGCTCTGAACTGAAAAAGACGGCGTCCGCCCTGCAGAAGATCCCTCCCTAAAGAGCTGCGGCTCTTGAGTCTGTAAGGAAAAATTCCTTTCAGTCTCCACATTCCCATTCCTTTTGTAGGCAGTGCCAGCCTGGGAAACCTCCCTGCTGTCCTTCCCCAGCTCCTCAGTCTGGTTGGTGAGCACAGACCCTCGCTGACCTCCTCACTGCTGCCTAAAACGCTTATTTCGGTGTGGTGTCCACAGCAGACAGGCAGGAGGAAGAGCTGGTCTCTGTAAAGGGAAAATCTTCGTTTGCTGTTTCCTCTCTCAGCTGCGAGCTCCTCTCCCTGCAGCTCTTCCCTCCCTCTCCTCCCCTGTCTGTCCCTGCTCTTCTGCCACCGTGGTCTGTGCCCCTGCCTTGTCTTCACCCTAAGAGTTTTGGGTTCGTGTCCATCAGATGCCTCGTGTCTCTGCATGTAACTGCTAAAGATTATTAATGATTCTGCAGTCACCTAAGCTTGTCACGTACAGCGAGCAGCCTTCCTCTGCTCGGTGTGTCTTGACAGATGTTATCTGTGCAGTCGTTAGCTCCGTCTGAACATTAATTTTCCTTTGGTTTTGAGGCTCTTTCCGTTCTCAGGGCTGACTCATGACCTGCCTTGTTATTTGCTGGGTCTAAGTGGCGTAGCTAGGAGACAAATGCAGCAACACTGTCACTGTTTTGTTGTATTTACTCTTTTTAGAATACCTCAGGCGGCCAAATTTTGCAGCAGCAACTTCGGTTGGAGACCCAGCATTCAGTAATACTCTGCATACTTTTCTCTTTTCCTGTTCCCAAGTAATCTGGAGCTATTTATGCACTCGAGAGCTTCTTCATTACAAAATGCTTTTGCTCGCGCCCCGTTGTGAACATCTATAGGTCCTAAATCATTATTTGTAGTTCCTTTTTTAAAAAGAAGCACCCACGGTGAGAGTTTTTTAGGTAAATGAAGGCAAGGGGTAGCCTGCAATGAGGAAATGGAGTGGTACACAGAATCAGGTCACTTTATAGCATGGGGGTGCTCCCAGGGGGACAGAAAAATCCCCTTTGCGATAAGAAAAGCAGATTATTTAAGCGAGTAGTATAAAAATACACTCTTTTATTCAGTTACCAGTCAAGTGCTGTGCTAGATGCTCACTCTTGACAAAGTTCTGATGCTCTGCGCTGAAACAGGACGTGGTATTGCCCTTTGGAAAGGGCAGGAACGATCTTCACGCGGCGTGGGGACCCTGCGGTGCCTCATTAAATACCTGCCATGCAGATGTCTCCTTTTGGCTGAGGTTTTTAAGATCACTGAATAGTCAATGTAAATAGTTAATGTAGAAGAGCATCATATTTTCCAAAGGCATCAGCAAGGGCTCGGCTCAGCGAGCTCTGAACCAGCAGCTGCGGTGCTCAGGATGATTTTGGTCCAGTTTGGGTTATCACCTCTTTACTGCTCGCCCATAGAGTCCGTTCGTGATGGATACGCTCGAGTCAAGTGAGCATCGTCCTGTGGTGGTAAAGAGCAAACAGTTTCTAGGACTATTTATAGTGCGAGCTAGAAAAGAAAGGCAAAGCGTCCTGGTGTGAAAATGATGAGCTGTGTTTGTTCTAGAAACCGCTTTGTCTTCTGCTTTCTAGGCCAAAGCAGGAACATAGCATTTCACTGCACCTGTGTCAGGATGAAAAAGTTGAAGCCCATCCAGCTTTTAACTTCCCTCTCCTGACACAAGATGCTCATTTTGAGCATTCAGGGTTTTGGTTTGTTATTTGCAGGTACCTCAGCTGTGATATTTTGGGTTTGGTAGCGTTCTAGTTCGCGTTTCAGTAGTTTTCTTGCTTCCCTGATGGATTCCGTGTCGTGCTGAGGATGCCTTTGGTTTCCCAAGGAAATGTGAGCCTGACTGCACAAATATTGCAAAATGCTGCTTAAGACCCCCTGGGTCACATTGTGCTGCTTTCTGCTGCTTTCCCAGCAATGATTTTGAAATAAGGGCAGAGAGGAATTGGACAGGAATAGAGGAGGTGATGGGAGGACTCAAATATTGCAGATTTGCAGAGGAGAGGGTGAATATGAACATAAATTCCCCCTTCTATGATAGCAATCAGGGTTGAACCCCTGCCTCGTGTGGACAGTGCTGAGTATTGGGGTTTTGGGGGAGCGTGGCCTCAGGCAGGCAGCGTCTTCAGAAATACTCTCATTAACAGTGTGGTGAGATTTGGTACGTTAAAATGTGACACTTGTGTGTGTTATTCCCATATTGTGGTAGGCAGACAACAAGAAATAATTCCTTGATTAACACAAGCTCGGTCTGTAAAACAAGTGGTGGCTTCCAACGTCCTGGGTTTAGGTCAGGGTTTGGCTTGGGGTGTTTGTGAACAGAGAGAAGGAGCCAAAAAATCTTAATGGGTTTTGCTAGGAAGGAGGCAGAGGGTATCTCCTGCGGCGTTTTTAAGAGCAGATTTAAAAGGAAAGTGATTAAAAATGTAAAAGAATATGACCGAGGAAACTGGATACAGCCTACAGTGCGCAGGCTGCCTCTGTCCTCTGCTCGCAGCCCAGCTGTGCTGTGCTGACAGGACTCCTGTGCATCAGCAAAGGTGCGGAAAGGGTGCAGCACTCCCCATCTGAGAGGCAAAACCATTAAAATCCATCAGTTTGTAAGATTATTAAATAACAAAAGGTCTCCGTTGTGCAATCCTGGCATGAAACGTAACGGCACGACTTCAGGCATTTTGGCGTCCTGCGAACGACGGTTCCCTGCTCTTGTCATTAAAAGTATTTAAAAACCCCAATGAAATGCTGTTTCTTTGCTATGCTCGTGTATCACAGGGTTTTTTACAACCACAGGGCTGCTGTGCTACCACTGCTCCTTTTGGCCAGGGAAGATGTTGACATTGAGAGCCCGCAGGTGCCATGACCAGAGAAGTTTTTCACGTGTGCACGTGTTTTATTTTAATACCGGCACCAATGAGTGGATTTTCACTTTTAAATAAAGGTGAATGTCGCAGTTTTCCCTCTTCCCTTGGACCAATGTGAGCTGAAATCCATAGGGCCTCCCTCCCTGCCCCGTCCGCCCCGTTAAAGCTGGGGGGCCAGGGCCGGTGTGGGGTCCGAGGGACGCGGTGCCGGTGCTGCGGTTCATGATCCCACGGGCCCTGAGCTCTGTTTATGTGTGAACGCTCCCTTTTCTGAGCTGTCAGATGAAATACGGTGCCACGCCGATGTTTCTCCCCACGTGTGACCACAGGGCAGGAACCTTGGAGCCGTCGGTAAACTCCAGCTTCCTGCACGGAAAGTATTACTGCAATTAAGCACTGTGCCCCCTAATTAATTTCCTTTCTGCTGATTTCTGAGCATTCTCCAGCACTGCTGTATTTCAGGTTGTGTCCTTTAAAGACGTTTTTTAGGATTGAAGTGGGTTGCAAGAACTTGCTTCAGGCTGAAACAGTTAAAGAAGAGAGCTAGAAATAGGTTTTCTTTCTCCAGGAGAAATGTCTTCCAAGTCCAGAATTACAAATCGATAAACTCGGATAATGTGGGGTTGCCGTGGGGTTTTGAGTCTAATGGTTAAATGCCACTTGAGTGAGTAATTGGCAATGGGAACTGGTACATGGGTGTTTTCTTCAGTTGGTTATTAGTCATCCAGCTACCGAATATGCCAGTGGATCATTAAAAATAAGTCTTCTGAATTATAAAATATGTGTCTTAGTAGTCAGTCCCTGGCTGTCCATGAGAAGAAGAAGGAGATTGAGTTAATTCTGGGATAATTTCAGGTTGATGATCAGGATCATTTCAGTGGGGGCTGAGGATGGCCAGCGTCCCTTAAGAGGCCTGGGCAAACAGACTCCACATCCCAGAGACCATTTATTTTTATGGATTCAAATCGGATTTTGAAGCATGAACCCTTGCCAAGATCTTTTCTTTATTTTTATGAAGTACGAGGTTTTGAAAATACATGAAAATCAGCCTTCATCTCTCTTCACCCTGGAAGAGCCGGGCACTTTGAGAAAAACTCTATGAGTTTCTCCTGTCACATTGACTGCCTTGTGCTCTCCTGTGGCCCTCGCTGGAGCTGTAGCTGACCCTGGGCCTTGGTTTGTTACTGTAGGGACATAGGACAGGTCCTGAGCTCACCAGGTTTTAATGAATGCTTCGAGGACCCCTTTTCCTGGGCCGTTCCTCTCTCCTTGTGCAGGAAGCTCTGTTTCAGTAGTTTAACCAATGCTTTCTGTTCATTTGGGTTTTCAGTAGGAGGACTAAGGGTGAAGACCTTGTTCTAACGCTTAGCGCTGTCAAAAGTCATTTATTTCATGAGTTCTTTGTCTTTTCCAGGCACAGGCAGTGGCTCCCTGTCCCACGCTCTCATCAGGACGGTGGCTCCCACCGGGCACCTCTACACCGTGGAGTTCCACCAGCAGCGGGCAGAGAAGGCCAGGGAGGAGTTTCGGGAGCACGGGGTGGAGCATCTGGTCACCGTCACCAACCAGGACGTCTGCAAGAGCGGCTTCGGCGTCTCCAGCGTCGCAGACGCCGTGTTCCTGGATATTCCTTCTCCGTGGGAAGCCATAGGACACGCCAAGTCGGCGCTAAAAGCCGAAGGTAACTGCTCCTATCTCTCTCTGCTCAGGAGGTGCCGTGCGTGCACATCTTGGTGTGCGATCGCGGTCCTCAAGTGTCCAAGTCTCCAGGCATTTCTGAGTGAGAAACCTTCAAAAGAGGCCTTCAATTTACAGTGTGGAAGGAGAAGAACAACTTTTTGTGCTACAGGCCTGTGCCAGCCGCTACAATGAGCAGGGGCAGTTCATAAAACCTCCTTTGAACTCCTGTCAAACGCATTTTGCGAGATCTGAGGTGTGTGGGAGGCAGCAGTTAGCAATAAATGCTGAAAGCCAATTTCTTTGGAGAACGTTTGCATAAAAGGTGTTCAGGTGCACTTCACATCAATCGCTGCAGATCTGCACCTATTTTACACAGCACCCCATCCGTAACGCCCAAGAAAATGTGGTTATACTTAAATAGGCTTGGCCCATTTCTGCCTCAGATCTCTGCCGTTGGAGCTGATGAGAAGTTTGCCGCTGGTTGCGGTGGGAACGGGACATAAATGCTGTTGTAGCTTATGCCAGGTACTCAGGATGGTGACAGCGATGAGAACTGCTGCCGAGGTGTTGCATGGATTTGTTGGTTTATTATAAATCTTTTCCCTATTGGAAAATAAGCTTCAGTGAGTAAATCATTCTTGTAATCCTGGAGTAAGTTTTCCCCTAAGCATTGTTATCCCTGCTGGGACAGGAGTTTAGTAAAACTACATGACGTGCTTTGTTAAAGTACATAATCCCAGGCCTGACTTCTGGTGAATTCCTAGGCCTTCTTGCAATCCCAGGTTTAATCTTGCTCTTAAAAGCTGCTGAATTTGCATTATTCCCTTGCTCAGGCAGGGCCAAGCCGCCTGTCAGGCTACCTCAGCTACCGACAACTTTCTAGCAAGCTTTCTGATACAACTTCTTTAAAAAGGGAATCTATAAAGAGAGATTTGTTGGCACTCGGTACCTGCAAGGACCACAGCTCAATTTGGAGCTGCTCTCCAGTGCGTCCTGGGGAAAAAAACCTCCTTTCCACTGCACTGTGCGATGCCCTTCCCGTGCTCAAATTATCTAATCTGGCGAGCACAGCGCTCAGCTGACTTCCCAGCTTAGAAGGCGCTGCATTGCACAGTCCAGCTTGAATTATTTAGGTGCTGCGTGTTTAGAATACCAAGCAGAGCTGCTCCAACAGCTCCAGGCTTCGAGTCCTTGCCTCGCTCCAGCATTCGAAATCCTAGAAAAGGCATGGCAGTCCCAAACCGGCCGTGCCATCTGGCAGTACTTTGCTGTGCTGCGAGGTTACATCTGCTTAGGCAATGTAAATAATACCTCAGAATCCCACATTTTTTGCATCGCACGCTCTGCGTGCCAGTGGAAAGTTGCCGATCCTTGCTACAGTCTTTGCTGCAAGCACCCGCCCGTGTCTGAGATCTGGTCCTGGTCTTGAGGCTCATTTTTGGGTTTCTTCGCACCTGACTGAGCTGGGGGGTGGGTTTTTATTTTGCTGGTTTGCACATGTTTTGCTGGGTCTCTTTAGTTTGCAGAAGAGGAGACTGAGGGGAGACCTCATTCATGGTTATAAATATTTCAAGGGTGAGTGTCACGAGGATGGAGCCAGGCTCTTCTCGGTGACAAACAATGATAGGACAAGGGGTAACGGACACAAACTGGAACACAGGAGGTTCCACTGAAATTGGAGAAGAAACTTCTTCTCAGTGAGGGTGACAGAGCCCTGGCCCAGGCTGCCCAGAGAGGTTGTGGAGTCTCCTTCTCTGCAGACATTCAAAACCCGCCTGGACGCCTTCCTGTGTAACCTCATGTGGGTGTTCCTGCTCCGGCAGGGGGATTGGACTGGATGAGCTTTGGAGGTCCCTTCCAATCCCTAACGCTCTGGGATTCTGTGATAAAAGCTGGTTTTCGTTTTCATCTAAAATGTAATTGTTTGCAGCAGTGATAGGTACGAACTCACACACATTTCTGCTTTATTCCAGGTCGTGGGTGGTTTTGTTGTGGGGTTTCTTTTACTGCTGTAAAATCTAAAATATGATAGAAGGGTATCTGTAACTGCTTCCCTTGCCCTACCGCAGGCAGATAATCCTATAGCGGGTTTTGGGGTTGTTTTCAGCTAGTTAAAGCAGTGAGAACTCTCTGTGCTGCTGTTCACCGCAGTTCAAGGGTTGGTGCAGTGATAACGCATCGCTGGAGTTTGGTTCTTCCCCAGCTTTTCCCTGCATGCCTGCTCTCACATCTGGATGGGGTCACATCTGGACGGGGTCACATTTGCACCGTTCATACTGGGTTTTGTTGTGGTAATTGTGCAAACATCGCAGCTGTACGGCCAAATAGGGGCAGTTTGTTCCCTGAAGTCTTAAGGTACCTTGAATGAAACCAGAGCTGAGCAAATTCAGTATTCAGCATGAGCAGCTTCCTCGTCAAAACCACAGCATTCAGTAGAGAGCAGTCAGCTGAGACGGGCTGCAAGAGAGTTCTTAACCTTAACAAACCCTTATCGAATCAGGGTTTTCTCTCCTCCTCAAGCTGAAGATGCTGAATAGCTGCAGCCCCTATTAGGCTGAGTGTTACTGATCCTCTTCACAGCGTCTGTTTATCACTCACGCTGTGCCTCGTGCTGCAGATACGCTGCTGGCAGTCGCTTGGCTCCCATTTCCAGCCCCACCACCCTCTGAGGAGCTCCAGAGATAAAAAGGCACGGCAGGGAGGAAGGCTCTCGTTCGCTGGTGATGGGCTGTGTCGATGCTCAGCCTCGCGTCTTGGCTGCATCCTCCCGTGCTGATTTCCCAGTGCTGTTTGTGAGGTCTCCGGGCACTGCTGCACTGCAGAGCTTGCCCTCAGCTCCAGACCTGCAGCACTTCACAGCATCTGCTGATTAATGCTTTTCCACGGCCAGAGCTGCAATTGCCAATGTCAAACCTTGGGGCATTTGCAAAGCTGCTGTTAACCCTTCAGGCTAAATTTTTAAAAAAATTTTTAAATTGTAAGCCTTAAAAAATATATCCTTCATATTCTCCAGTGCTTAAATGCCCTGAAACTTTTGGCTCAGCCATCTCTGCTGCTGTACGAGAATTCATCCTGAATGCTGTAGTGCTTTGAATATAACTCTGCGCCCACCTACTCTGCTCCCATCAGCGCTGCCTGTTTCTCCCAAGGCTGTGGAAGACGAGGCAGAAACCCACTTGTTCGATAGTTTTCAGGCAGATTTTAGATTTTCAGGTAGGAAGATGGAAAAATACAGCCATGTATTAGGTTGGGTGGGCCTCTTGCATTATAAATCGGTCCTTGGTGGTGGTGAAATTGCCAGTCTGAGTCACAAAATTCTTGAAACCACCCCTCTTTCATTTCCTCTCTTTCCTTTAAAGATTTTACTCTTAAATGCAGACTTGCCACTTGCTCTTAACTGTCATAAAGCCCCTAAATTATGAGTTTGTAAGTCCTTGAGACATCACCTGGGTCAGGTAATGTGGTGCTGTCGGGTCTCCCCCTAAAACTGCAGGGAGGTTCCCCCCGAAAACCTCCCAGTTTGTTCCTCTGCGTTTCCTGCCGTCACGAAGCCCTTCAGCATCGCTGTGCTCCTTGTGGTAGTTAGTTTTCATTTCCAAAGCTTTGTCTTTGTTTCATTTGCACACAGTGCACTTTAAAAGAGTCCCTGTTTGCATTTTTTCCCCTTAGCACAGCCATTGGTTGTCCTGACCTGCCAGCTTTGGTTATTGCAGGTGCTGTATAAGAGAATAAACAGTTTCTCATCCTCCCCGTAACCTGTGGTGCAGGTAAGGCATTGCCTGGATCAGCAAGTTCCAGTTTTCATCTGGGCTTGCCTCTGTCCTCCCCTAAGCTCTCAGGGAACACCCTGTCCATGTAGAAGGTCTCATGGGCTGTTTCTGTGAGCCCCACAGGTTATTCACGGCCCTGTTTTTACACCACCCAGGTGTGGGTTGGAGAAGCAGCTGAAATCCCTGGCCACGGGTCTCACCCGTGTGGTTTTTGGGCAGTACCCCATGCAGGTGGTGCTCGAGTCGTGGCGCTTCTCATGGCCCCAGGAGATTGGTTTGCAGTAAATGGATGACGCGAGATGTGCTGGCTCAAATGTCAACACCAGCCCTTGCTGCTGCGGTTCCTGCTTTGCTTCACAGGAGAATTGACTCAAGGTGAGGTTCAGGATCCACAAAGTGACCTTAAAGGTTTTCTTCCCCAGTTTGGAGCCGACTGATTTTTCCCTTTCCTTGCTGTGTGAGTTTGCCAGCGAGCAGGAATCCATTCCTCTTGAAGTCTGCGCGTACAAACGCGGAGGTGAAGGCCACGCTCGCGGAAAAATCGCATCAAGCTGCTCTTAATGAGCTGGCAAGTGATTGGGAGCAAATTTTCTCTTCTGAATCAAGAAACATCCTTTAATCCCTTCCAAGAGCCGACTCCTCTCATTTCACTTGTCAGGGAAGCGGCATCAGCTCGCCCACGAGCGCGCGCGCCGAGAGGACGTTCTGTCCCCTTTTGCAGCAGCAATATTTTTAGTGTCCTGCGAGCACCGAGTCGGTGTGAATCGCCGAGTGGACGCCTTGGGGATGCTCCTCGGCGGCTCTCCTGCCTCGCCTCTGTGATTCTTGTTATCCTGTGAGATCTGTGTAAGATCACCTTCCAACTACGGCATTGCACTCGAGTCGGAGCTGAGAGGAAAACGCCGTGCTGCGTGCTGTACGTCGCAGAATCCTTTCCTGAATCACAGGAACTTAATGGTGCCGCGCCGCATCTTTTTGCGTCTTCTGGATGGTGCTGGAACGGTGCAGAATTAACTTGGATCTGTTTTCTGTACCGTGAGCAGGCGCTGGGGTTCCTGTCCATTGGGATAAATATCCCGTATGCCAAATACCCCACATGCCAAAGATCCCGTGTTTGAAACCCCGTGCGGTTGCAAGCTGAATACGACTGGTAGAGGTGTTAGTCCTTGCGCAGGCAAACCAGAAACAGAATTGTATCAGGGGCTACGCGTGCATCAGGAGCAACTTTCAC